CAAAACACCCTAAGGCTAAGCTAAGCCATAGTACTAGTACACGACACACCTTAAGGCTAAGCTAAGCCATAGTACTAATACACGACACACCCTCAGGCTAAGCTAAGCCATAGTATTAGTAGACGACACACCTTCAGGCTATTCACACGTAAGTAGACATCATCTGTTATACAAAACTCCATCGACACGCTACACTGCACACAACAACAAGAATACTACCCAAACACACACACACGCACAAACTACACATAACCAATCGGTGACCACCGGAATAAATCATACTTACGTGTGAATTTTTCTTCGCATCACGTACCTTTGTGGATGACGCTGGCCTGAGCTCATTCTGTTGTTCATCTGTCTGCTGGTGCTGTTGCCTGTACCCTTTTGGTGCAGGTTGCTTATACGCACTTGCGTGCGTGTTTGTACTGGGGTTTACGTTCGTTTTTGTGTTCGAGTGCATGGTACTGTCTCCGGGTGAGATAGCCGTAGTTGTGCTGGCACCGCTACTTCCACTCGCATGCTTCGCCTGTTTCGCAAACATAGCCCCAAGACTGGGCTTCAGAACAGTGTTCACGGTTTTGGCATGCATCTTTACTGGGGTGAATGCAGGTGCTGCGCTCACTTTGCCGCCAGACATCTTGATACTATGTGCACCTACATCCATCTCATTCCGCCCTGAATAACGCGCATTACTGTCTATATTTTCCGTCTCGAGCTGAGGTTTTGACAGCAGTGCTTGTGCTGAATCCATACCGCCTGCAAGTTTGTTTGGATCCAATGGCGTAGGCCGCACGAACACATACCCACTGTGTTTCTTCTGCACACGAACAGGTGTTGCTGCAAATGCTGAGCTCAGCCCCTTGCTCTTAGGCGCACCGGTCAGCTCATGCGGTGTGAATGACGGCGGCTGCGACTCGGTCATTTCTACAAATCTGTTTGACTGTGTTATGTGCGTGTCTTGGGTAGATGTATCGGGATATGCAGAAGCTATTATCTCTTCAGTAGTGTGTGCGATCACGCTATATTTCTTCTTATTGTCGTGGGTGTCGCTTGAGATTGTACTTGATGGCTCGGTTGTCCTAGAGAAGGGTTTATCATTAGGTACATTTGTAGCACTGCCAGCCATAGTCTCATTGTTTTCCGTTGGTGTGTCCATTGTTATATCAGAATCACACACTTCATTATTCTCGAAGTCCTTGTAGGTTCGAACTGAGAAGATCGTCTATACGACTCTGTATAACACCCTGGCTGTGACTTATAATAATGAGACCCAATGCATGTCTAAGCTATACATTGATGGACGACAGTGTGATCCCTCCTCCATCATATGAATAGCGTATATATACTTTCAGCCAGCTACAGTGTGTATGATAGGTGCACACTATAACAACTAAACCCTCAACAAGTGTTATAACTTATAACTTATTATAACAATAGCTCTTCACTCTAAAGTTTCCCATGACGCACCAACGATCGTGTCCAACACGCCAAATCCATAGCCGCCGTCTAAATCGAACACAAATCAGTTTGCAATAGGAAAAAAGGCGGGCCAGTTGCAGCGGATGGCTCACTGTGATTGGACAATAGGCGGACGACACTTTCCTAAATGTAAATAAATACATTCTTCACATACCTCTCTAGAAACAATATTTAACATAAATAATCAACATAAAGAGTCATATATATTTAAATGTGTCGAAGCATGTATACACACACACACACACACACAAACAGACACAGAAACAGAGACACAGAGACAAAGACACAGACACAGGCACAGACACAGGCACAGACACAGACACAGACACAGTCACACACCCACACCCACACACACACACGCACACACACACACACACACACACACACACACACACACACACACACACACACACACACACACACACACACACACACACACACACACAC